GTCGTAGCAGTCGTAAGTATGAGAACGACAACGTTAAAATCGCACACAAATAATGCCAAAAGCCAACCGTCAACCTGCACCCCAACAAGTGTTACGGCTTTACAAGGACCATGCTGAAACGAATCTTGATGAATCAAGGATCCTGACTGGGTCTTGCGAGCCACTCGAGAGGATTGCTCCTACATGAAAGCATCCAGGTTAATGCTTGCTCAAAATATCTTGTTTCCCACATTCCACAGGTCTGAAACCTGAAACTTGCCTCGCGAGCCCCGCGCTCCCGCATGAGCTGCTGCTGTAGCACCTTGGGAGCCGAAATGAGCAGCACATCCGAAAGCCGAAATGCACAGAAGCCAATTCTGAATTCCTACAGCCTCAAGCCCTGGACATAGCCCTAGGTATTGGGCCCAGTCATAAATTTCTGAAGGTTCCTGGGAAAGGAGAGGGTAGGACTTCCAAATAAATCCAAAGTGCCGTTGCCGCGTGCTTGCCCTCGCTGAGAGAGACAGAGAGTTCCGCGATTTGGGTTCGCATATCTGCCAGGATCTGCCTGGTTCGAAAAAGCGTTCAGGGTCCTGGGCTCAGTGTCGAGAGTGCAGGGATTAGGTGTGGGGTTTTCCGGCGACGGGATCTGGCATGAAGCCTGAAGAAGGGAGTTTCTGGGACTTTGACGATGCTTTAATCACACCGTGCAGGGATCAGGTCAGATGTACACTAGCCGCATACGCCTGCCCAAAACCAGCTTGTGAGATTGAGAGGTCTTTCTATCGAAAGGTTGCAGCTGTCTGTCTCTCCGTGTGCGCGCGCGTGTGTCGCTAAACTCTATTCCCGTGTGCTTGTATCGGGTGGGGGTAGGGCCCGCTGTAAGGTTGCAATGCCCTATACCCGAAGCTGCTGGATGATCGTGGCCTTGGGCTCTAACTCCAAGGCTGCCTTTCTGGAACCACTTTAGAACGAGGGGTTCGGAAAACTTTTGTCATTGCTTATTCAGAGTTGGAACAACCTCCAGTCTGTTCAACCTTAAGGATCTGGCGCTTCATTTCCTGCGGCTTCGCAACCCCTCACCAAAGCTGCTATTGAGTCTAGTCACGCCTAAGTCATCCAATCTAGACTCCGCGAAAGCTGCAATCCGAACTCCCGTGCACCAAAAACGGCCTCAGCAACGCCCAGCGCAAGACCCCCGACTCCTCTGACATGGCTCGAGGTTTTCTTGGGTGTGTTTGTATTGGCTCCCTTCACCTATCAGCCAGCCGGCCCAAGCCTGCAAGATTTCAACTTCCTCCAGCGAAACTATGTACATCTTGAGATTTTTTTGGTGGCCGAAGATAAGAACTAGTTTGGTGAGTCGAGCCGTTTACATCATCAGTCTTATTCGTCTCCACTCCAAACGGACCCGCTTTTGACAGCCCGAATCAAAGCAGTTCTTGCCTCTTTCTTCTAAACATTGTCCTTCATTTGGGTATGGACTTGTTGCTTTCGTGGCACCGAGATCATTCCAAAACCGCCCGAAACAAGAATGCCATATCCAGCAACACAACTGCTGTCACCAACATCACCATTCTCATCATCCACGTCACTCGACTCTGCTACTGCATCATCGCCGCACTCACCATTGTTGTCACTGTCGCATTGGTCATCGTGATCATAATGGCCGCCATGAGCGCCATCATCAGCCACCAACATGTCATGACCATCATCGTAGCCATCATCATCATCATCATCATCATGATCACGGTGCCAATATCCTCGCCAACATAATTTGGCCAGCGACCATGACCATCATCATTGGCTGACGGCAATCGCCTTCGTGGTCATGTTCGTCCTCTTCAGTTCTCATCATCAACATCACCGTCATCATCCACGTCACCATCATCATCATCAGCATCGTCATCATCGTCATCCTCATCGACATCAGCATCGTCATTGTCATAAGAATCATCAACATCGGTCGCAGCAGCAAGCAGCAGCAGCACGTCCTCGCCAACCTTACCAACATCATGCACTTCTCAACCATGAAAGCTACAACTATCGCTTAGATGACAATCTTGTCCTCTCGGGCTCGCTCGAGGTCCAGCAGTGCATCTTCACCAGTGCCTTTTGCTGTGCGTCGGAAGTCTGGCATGTCGAAGAATCTGGTTCAGTGTCTGCGGAACTTGGCTGCAGACTCTGCTACAGGCTGACGCCTGAGCGTCTCCCGCGGGTTTATGCTTCTAGACTTCAAGATTTGGGTCCGCAGCCTCTACGAAGCAACATCGGACCTGCAGCCTGCAATCTTGCTCTGGCTCGAAACCAAGGCTGGGATTTGGGATACCTCCAGGCCAGGAAGCTTTCATAAACTTGTAGTAGTTTTCTATCGCTACTATACTTTCTGCCTCATTCTCGTCACCACACCCGCGTTACGCTTAAAACCCCTTCCTGGAAGCCTCAAGGACCGGCGCCAAGCGGCTGATTGCCAGCTCACCAGAGCTGTTCCTTTGTTGCCCAAACTCCCCACACAGAAGGACATTTTTCCTTGTTCTTACTATGGTTTTGGTATGGAAACTCCGTTGAATTATAAAATGCTCAAAGGAGCACTACTTGCGAGCTTAGCTTCAGCAGTGCACGTGCCGCGTCCGCGTCGGTGGCTAGGCGCGTGCCTTCGGGGCCGATGATGTCAAAGGGCGCCTGCTCCGGCGGGGTTTAGGGATTCAAGGGCTTTGGGCTTAAAGTTTACAGGTTCAGTTGCGGGCTTAGCGGCTTAGCGCTTCTGCCAGGGCCGGGGTCAACTTGAGAGTTGGGGCTGGTGCCGGATGGGGCATTGAGAAATCCTTGGGGAGTGTAGCTCCAACCTTTGTCGACAGGTGCCCTCTCGCCTTTTCCTGCCATGGAAATGGATCGAGAGGAACATGGCAATGTCAGGTTACGTTGCTCCGACCCTCGTTCTAGCAGCTGCCTCATGGCAACATGTCTCTCGTTGTGATCGGGTGGGTGTCCTGCCACCCACATCCTCAACCAACCAACTTCTAGAGCAAAACCTTCAACCCTGGATCCTAGCCCGACAACCCAGAACGCTGAGCCCCAAACCCCAAACCTGATCCAACTCGACACCCCGACCGAACCCTATAAACCCATGGTAGCCCAAAGCCCCCCAAGCGCTGAATGCTCAACCGCTTTTCATACCGGGCTGAAGTCAGCTAGTCCTAACCCCCTGGCTTTCTTAGCCGAGGGCCCGAAACTGCGGACCCCACACCCTACAAAAACCCTAGAACCGAAGCTAAACCCAAAACCCTACTTGCAAAACCCCAACCGCCCTAGCCGAAACCCCCCAAAACGGCCTTTAGTCCAAAGGCCCCTGCGGCGCGCGACTTCAGCGCGTCCAGGCCATCGTCCGGCAAGAACGGCACCTGCTCTGGGGCTTGGTGGCCTGGTAGGAACAATAGGGGCTGGGGATATGGTTTAGGGTTCAGGGTTTAGGGTTTATGGGTAATTGGTGGCCTGGTAGGAACAATTGTGGTTTTGGGGGATATGGTTTTGGGTTTCGACACTCACACTCGCACACAGCAAGGCTCCACATGGTTTAGGGTTTAGGGTTTTATAGGTAATAGTGTAAGTGCATAGGGGCCATCAGGCGACAGCAGGTCTAATTTGTCCGACCCTTGTGAAACGGTACGAAAGGGGATGATGAGGGAGGGCACTATTACTATGACTGACTGTGTCGGACCCCTATAACACCCACCTTGGTTGCAGAGTTGCAGAGTCGCACCTGGACCTGGCCAGGCAAAAGGAGGGCATTTAAGCTCGAAGGGCCCAAGGGTGTTGCTTCATATGAAATTGACGTAAAGTGATCACTACCACGCGAGACAAGAGATTTTGAAACAACTCGGAAGGCTCCTTTGATGTGCGAGTGTGCGACGCTTCTTACCCCGTGCATTTGTTTGGGCTGGAGGGGTTCCGGTAGTGATGTAGGATGTGGGGCGTGAGTGTTTTAGATTTTCAGGCCCGGTGCCTGGACCACAAGATGTGTAGTGAAACATGACGAAGACTCAACAAGTCGGAATCTTGGAAGCAATTGACGGAGGCTCTCATGCTGATGTTCACTTGTGGTTTTGCATCGGTCTTGCCATCGCATACCGGCGACATTGTAAAGCCCATTGCACAGTCTTAGCCGGCTGGGTCTGTGTCCGAGTATAGCTTGTTTTTATCACCCTCTTGCGCGTGAGCGTAATTCCCTGCATCAAACCCAATAAAACCCGGAGCTGGGTTCAAAGGCTCATCATACAGGAGCTACTAGTCCCAGCAACACTAGCGAAGGCCAGCAAACACGACAGTAAGCGCACCACTCCGACCAGCTCATAGTATGTAAGAGTCATGAATCACACAGTACCGCCGAGCCCCAAATTTGTTCAGGACAAGCCCAGATCCCGTCTTCACTGCCTCGGTCTGGGTAGGGCTGTCGGCAGCTGCCGCCGTCGCCATCACAAAGAACGAGCTCGGAGGGGATATATGGTACAAGGCCGCGCAGGCTGCAGCCGACAGAGTCTCGTTCAAGGACCTCTGGAGCCAGCATGGCAACATGCAGGCTCCCTTCATCTTCCGGATCAGGAGCACGAAACACACTTGTGGCACTATCGGAGGCTTGTCGGTCGAGATGTTCTGGGCGAAGGCTGCAAGGTTGAGGGGGGGCATGTTTTTCGTTTGCTGCAGTCTTTGCACCGATGGTTTGACAGCATCGCTGTTCTTCCTGTGCTGGACGCAGCTGTTTCGGTTAGCGTGTAATCATTCAAGCTGGCAGCCCCTCTCTGTGTCCAAGCCAGAAAGCTTCACTCCCACTTCGCATGACTCGTTGGAACATCCTGTCTTCTGGCTAATTAACATGTGTTCAGGGCCTGTGGGACACATAATGCCAGGATGCCAGCCTGCACTCTAGACGAGTGAGCTCCTACAAAACTTCGTCAAGCGTGGCAGTCATTGACGCCCCGAATTGGCTTCCAAAATGCGCAGGCGCCTGCGACGCTAATCAGGCCTCACTTGCCCTTGAAGTACTCCGCCACACCCTCTGTAGTGGGCTTCATAGCCTTGGCACCCTTCTTCCACATCGCCGGGCAAACCATGGGATTTCCATCCTTCACGCTCTTCTCGTGGAACTGCAGCGCGTCCAAGATGCGGAGCACTTCCTCCATAGAAAAGCGGAGATGCAACCAACACCGCTCCCAAAGACCCTCAATGCTCAAAGCTGTGGGTCACATAAACTGATTAGCCTTGACATGCGTGAAACTAGACCTGAAACTGCACACTAGCTGTTGCTATGTTTTTGTCCTCAACGTTGCGTCCCAGCGGGAGGTCGTTCTTCATCTCGGATCGCACGACGCCATCCTCACAAATGAAGCAATATTGCGAGCAACCGAAAAGCATAAACTGCTACTTCAGGCATGAGTGCTTCATTCCACACAAACCCAAACCTCAAGGGAGATCAGCGAGACAACCCGAAGCAAATCCCAGGTGCCTTATCGATGATGTACACGGCTCTCAATGCCAGGCCGTTGTCCAACAGACATCCATATGCATCGCTGACCTGTTTCCGTGCTGGGGCCCGGTCGGTACTTAAAACACGAAACAGAATAGTGTAATCATAATATGAACATTATAATCATTATAATCATCATCATGTAAGACCTCAGAAAGGCGGGATCCTCACTTTGAGACCTTTGAAGAAACGATCCACAGAAAGGCGGAATTCCTAGCCATTCATTACACAGCAGGGGCGGGGAGGGTTGAAGGATCAGGGAGTTTAGGCTTTCATGCAGGGCGACTGCTTCGAGCTGGGTAACAAGAAAGGGGCGTTAGCAACAGCTTTCAGAATGGAAAGTGTCAGGAGCAGTAAGCACTACTGAAGATCCGCCGCTCCTATGCTTGTAATCATACGTGGACTAAATGGTACGTAGTGTAGGTAGGCTCTACAAGTACGCATCCGATGCCCGGTGCAGTGGGAGACCTGACGAAGCTCTGGTTTGCTTGCGCGCACGCGCAGGTGCATGCGTGAGTGCGTGAGAGGTGTAGCAGGAGGTGTGACCTTCCATGCAGGATGCTGTCTTGGAGCAGCTCCTGCAAGGTACGTTCCTCTGCACAAAGATTCACGATGCTTTTGCCAGTGGCAGCTTAGTAATGAGCCGGCCTCCTTCTTGACATCTGCCAGCAGCGGGTGCGAGATGGGCCCGATTCCACCCTTGTCTTGCGGCGTGTTTTTCCATGCCTCCGGGATGCCACTCGAAGTTCAGGGGAAAGAACTCTGCTCAAGGGGTGTGCAACATTGCCGTCGGCTGGGTCTATTCTAGCTACTGCCGTAGCAAGTGAACCGCATCGCCTAATACTAACCTCGTGGCAAACCCAGAACTCCTAAATCCCAACTTCTTCCTGTATGCTGCCTGGGACCTGTCGGGTGTCATTAGGTCCCGGTGCGAGCAGTGGGTCGCTAAAGGCGTGTTGAGCTGCATAGCATGGAGGGGTCGAGGTCCTTTCCGATGAACAGCTACCTAAAGACTTAGACGAGACTCACCGAGGAAATTCTACTCTGATGCTTCGCTGTTCGGCAGATTTGGTGCTAGCAGTGTGGCTCATAGAGATGATGACCGCGTTTAGATGGGGTACCGTGGAGAACATGCAAGGGTGATCAACCTCGCTGTGCTCGACAACCGCTAACCTCAAGACATACAGGAAAAATTCAGTGTCCAGGTCTGCCGTGATGTGCATGATCTTACACAGGTTTACCCTCTGTCACCCCGGTGCCACATGTTTCTGGATACCTGATCCCGGGAGTTTCTTCGATCAGGTGCCACGTCCCCGTGCCATACCGTGTGCAGGGTACAGAGTGTCGGATGTCGGTAACTCGTTTCCGTCCGGTAGGAAGTCTCTGCAGCTTCCTTTCTTGGGACCGGCGGCTTCGGATCTGGCCATGCCGTTTGAGCTCAGGTTTGCTGCAAACAAAGCATGTTTCCGAAGTTAGACTAACAGATACTGCGCTCTCTATGATGAAAGCCGAACTTTCCAACACTGCTATTGAACTGCGGCCTGAAACCAACAAACAACGCCCCCAAAGACAGAACTGAACATCAGCACCCGCAGGGACTTGCTGCAAGATGGCCGTTTAAGCTATGGTGACATCAATTCATAGCCAGGTCCAATCACAGCCGGAGGTAGCATAAACTATAAGATCACGACTCATCCATAGGGTTTAACCTAGACACCGAGATGTCTAAACTAAAGAACATCACAGCTGCCAAACAGACCATCGAACTTACACTACACTCAGGGCCCCGAGCCAAAAAACAATCAGCCTCAAGCCTCAACTCCACGGCAACAACCAAGCCTTGTGCACGTGCTCCGTGTCGATGGACAGGCCCAACACCTCGACACCTCGATCGTCGAACTCCTTCGACGCCAAGCGCTTGAATGGCATTCTTGTGCAGTGTTCAGGCTGTTGGGGTGTGATTTTGTTTGCCCCCGTGAGAGAAATAGATGCAAAAGATTTTGGGCCACAGGCCCTAAACCTCTCTAGAATTTAAACGCTCATTCAATCCAAAACCGCAAACGGCCCTCGCCCGGAAACCAGCAGAGAGAAGTTTCTTCACCCTCAACCCTGGGTGAGGATTTGACTCAGTAGTAGTGGCCTTCTGCAACTTGGAGAATGCCACCAGCTCGCTTGCACACACGAAAGTGAAGTCGGCCGGATAGGTGTACAGCACCACATACTTCTTGCCTCATCGAAATGCTCGAATTCTGGGTTTCGCTGGTCTTGCTTGCACGTTGGTAGCATGCGCAAAGGTTAAGAAGGCCCAGTTCAGAGCAGCGTCGAAGTGCAGGACAGTTTGTGAAAGACAGGGAGGAGTTGGAAGGCTGCGCATTAAGCGCCTGCTGCGTAGAATTGCCAACCCTCGACTCCCAACAACGATGTAGCCTGAAGAACCCTCGAAACCCCGAAGCCCAAAGTCCTCCTTCTCATGAGCTCCCAGGATGACCATCCTGAACCATTCCAAGCAACTCCCATCTCCCCTGATCCTGGTTCCCCAATATCCTCTTGGTAACACGGGTACCTGGGTACCCTTTCTCTTACCAGCATTATTCATTCATCAAGGAACCCTACATGACAGGGCGAAAATGTGCTCCTGGTGGACGCTGTAAACAAAGAATCCTTTAAGAAGGAAGGGCACCCGTCAACAAAACTTAGGCGTCTCTGGGTCGGGGAGGTTGTCCTGCCTCGGTAACTGGCGAGCTCCACCTCCTTGAAGGAGTCATCCGGCATGCCTTGCTGTTTAGGGGCGAGGGCACCTGGCTTTAAGGGTCTGCAGCCAGGGAGTTGTTTTTGGGTTCCAGGTGCTTTCGAGCCCCGGAAACAGTCGATAATGCAGTCCTGGGCATGGCACACTCCAACACAGCCAGCGCGCCTTCCCCAAAAGCTGTAAACAAGACCCTAAGCCCTAAACCGCCCGAACCTTAAGACCCCCCGAATGCCCAAACCCTGAGCTCCCAAAGCCCAAAGCTTAAACCCTGACTCCTACAGTCCTACACTGAGAGAGCCCCTGCCCATGTCGAAGGCACACGCCATGAGCTTGAAGTTGGGCGCCGGCTGCTGGACCAAAGTGGACAAGGATCCTTGTTTATCGGATCCTTAAGGGAGGGTGGTTCTAGGGAGAATTGGGGATTATTGGGTTATATACCCCTCTTAGAACCCCCTTAAGGATCCCATAATTGTTGGGCCCGGCGTTCTCAAAATGCTGGTGCTCTGGGGCTCAGCTCCTTTTAAAATGCGTACAGTATGTGTTTGAGATGTCTTCCGCTGCGCTGAGTATGCTCAATCGCAGTCACTGCGCATATTTCGTGCATCATGTTTGGCATCTTTGTCGCTTACACTGGAGAGGCCCCAATACGATTCCACCCCCAAGCCTAAACCAAAACAGGCCAGGCCATGAACCCGAAACCGAAACGCGAAATCCGCCTGGTTGCTCACAGCGTTAACGACCGCTGCTCACGGGTGAACAAGGCTCAAGAGATTGACGAGATGTTGGGGCTGAAGGGCGTTGGGGGGTGAAGCATTCAGGGCTGAAGGCTCAGGGCTGCGAGGCTGCCTCTTGCTTTGGTGATTGAGGGCTCCTGGGTTGTCTGAGGTGCAACTGGTCGAAGTTGCTTTGGAGCCCTGTCAGATGAGGCCGAAGACCGTGAGCCGAGAGTCACTCCCGCTGTATACCCCTTCAGCCTGCAACCATATCCAAACAATCGAAGCAGGATCGATCTCGCAAAGACTTGGGGGGCCTTTTAAGGCTACCAGTTCTAAGCTTTGGTTGTAGGTTTTGCGGCCTGAAGTGACTTGACAATGTAACCCAACGCCCTACACCCCAAACACTCGCATGCCGCCCTGTCCGTATCCTCCTCAAAGGCTCAAGAAAAACTGAACACCCCGACCACAAACCTAACTCCATTCCTTCATCCAGGCTCTCTTCTGGCCCTTTGTCTCTGCCATGACCTGGGAGCACAGCTTGTGGGGCTTAAGGTCGTTTCGCATGTGTTGTGTCTTCGGGGTTTACCATGGGGCACGGCCATTTGGGTGATGGAAGGCTTGGGGGGAACAGGCCGCATCTTTCTGGAGGAGATCCACTGAAACTGCTTCAAAACTCAGCTGCTGACACCCTGCTTTCGTGCTTCATGTTTAGGGCGTTATGTAGGGGTCCAAAAGGGAACTTATCCGGCAAATCAGGGCAACTGACTAACGACCCTCGGTTGCAGCTAAACCATGAAGCCCAAACCCCGAACCCTCCACTTCACTAAAGAAGCCTCCCAAGAAATGCTGCAAAAAACTCGGGAATTCCTCCATGAAACAAAACCCAGTCTCAACACCGTAAAATTCGGTGATGTTGGAGAAACCCGGGATAGCTCAGAGTCCAGCCGTGACTTTGCTCCCAAAGCAAGATGCCACAGGGTGTTCCAAAACTTTTGAGCCCAACTGCGGTTTTGTCTTCACACAATTTTTGTTCAGACTGGACCCATTCTGCAAGGAGCCCAACAGCGGTACCGAGGAAAGCTAGCAGTTGTTGTTGTTGCACTTTGTAGCGGCGGTAGGTGCCGTAGAAGGTAGGTCGTACGAAGTAGGTGCAATGCAAATCCACCCTTCCTTCAACACCCTCAAACCTAGCGCTTTGCCCGCACAGCATTTTTCAGCGGGTATGCGGTGGCCGCTGCTCAAATCGATCGTGGAAGGGCCCTGGATCCTTGCGTAGGGTTCGACTCGGCTTCCCCCAAGTGGTTCAAAAAAGCCTGTACTTGAGCAGGATGTTTCAGTGTGGCCTATCGGATCTATCGCGCATCGGTTTTTTGAAATCGTCGGGCCTCAGACGCGAACGAGACTTTGGGGCGCTGAGGTCGCAGGGCTTTGGCAGCATCTCATCTTCAGGGTTTTTTTGCTCGAAGTCTCGATCTTATGGGTTGCCATCTCATGCCTTTGCACGAAGGCTTTACACCCTACACTGGCCCCTAACCCCCAGTTTCAAGCAGAATCCTAAACGCAAGAACCCCACATGGGGTGGGCCTGGGGGCTTTCGGGCACTATGTGGCCTTCTAGGATTTCTCCTCTGACTTCGTGAATCAGTGCTTTGCAGGGAGATTGGGCATCTCTTGTGCTTCCGAAAAACTTGCATGTTTTGAAAGGATCTGCAAACAGGGCTTCATCACGTATGCAGTAAGGTTCTTGTTTCCAATATTCCCGCAATAGACCCCAGCATAGCTACGATAAGCCCATTTTTTGCAAACCCTTAACCCGGGACCTAGGAGTGCGCCCGACGGACTCAAGCTGCATCCGGAAAAAGCCCTAATAACAAAAAAAGGAACACATTCGAATCAACCCTATACATCAGAATCGTGGCCTATGCAGAAAGCCGGATTGGGGCCGCTATGTCGAACGAAGGTAAAAGGGGCTCCTGTCGGCTGTACTTCGGACCCTTTACCCCGCAACCCTGGCTCATAAACCCGGCGTTATTTTCAGGTGTTTAGGTAGCACTTGGGTATGAAAGCATAGTTGTGAACTATGGTTGAGCTACTCTTCTGCTGGGGTTGCCTACTGCAGTAGCTACCTTCTACGCAACTATACCACTGAACTAACCACAAGCATTTAGGCACCCCCTCATGTTTAACGTCGGTTTCTTGCAAGTCGCAAGTGCTTATGAAGACAACGAGGACTTTCGGACGTTAAACTTCTCTTCTGGCACACCTTTTTCTTTTGCAACTGGGCTTGGGGAAGACGACCAGCCGAGTATGTCAAGGAAGCCGTTCGAGAATCCAAGCAGTCCAAGCGCAGTGCACCCTAACTAGCATTTCAGCAAAACCCGCTGCGCGTTCTTCGAGATGTTTCACAAATGAGTGCCCGGCTCCACCAGGCAGGCCAAGAAGAATGGACCTTGACAGGCTCGGCTTTTTCTCCGGTTGATTTGAGGAGTTTTAGGGATTCTAGGGTTCAGCGTCTTGAGGTTTAGAACTACGGGGTCTGGGGCTGTCTCCGGAGGGCATGTGCTGGCGCGGGAAAACAGCCAGGAATTAGAAAGGCCGAGGCTCGCATCGCGATTTGAAGGCCTGGGCTTAAACCCGTAGCAATAGCACCGACACCCAAAAGCCTGGAGATCTTTGCCATTCCACCACCTCCCCAGCATCTGTTTAGCTGTCTCATGCTCTCAGCCACCTTGAAGTTAGCATCCTGCCACCTGATCTTGACGATCTCTCTAAGAACTCCAAGTTGGTTGGCTGAGGGACTTGACTTTAGTGGCCTACTCTTTGAGGGGCCAAAGCCTGTCTTTTTGGAAACTAACCCCACGAAGCAATTCCGGGCGGCGCTCGGCTTTAAACGCGCTGAAAACCCTGTTCACCCAACCCGTAGCCCCGGAAGAAAGACAGGCAATGCGACAAACAAAGACACCTTCAACTCTACACGGCCTCAACCCTAATCCCGAAACTGCACGCGCTGAACCCCTAAGCCCTAAAAATTCCTAAAGCGCTGTCTCCAGGATCCCGGCATGACCCCCGCCTCCCGAAGTTGATCCTCAAGAGCCAACTGGTTTGTGAGATGTCTGGGGTGTTGGCGTTTCGGGGGCTTGAGGACTTTAGGGCGTCAAAGCTTGTAAGTGGGCTTTAGGTGTTCTCGTGCTGCATTTAGGGTTGATGGGACGCGGCCAGTGGGCGGGTTTGGAAGAACAGGTTTGTAGAAGCCTTTACAGGGTTAACTATTGGGTTTAGAATCGGCTGTGAAAGCTTTGCCTGCGCACAAAGAATTACTTTGAAGGCTGTTGGGGGACAATACAAGCTACAGTATGGCGTATGACGTAGAGCAACCACTGCGTGAACGCATCAAACATGCACGTCTGCCCGAGGATGTGGAGCGTGGGATTGGAGGTTTACACCTCGCAGCTTCGGGCATAGACTGTCGGAGTGAGGCAATCCTGCGCTGGGCTTAGGGCGGGTTTGGGGTCGATGGAATCATCTCAACCCGAAACTGATAGATTATCGGCCCGAAGCCCTCACCCCGAAACCCCTCGACCCCAAAGCTGGGCCGTAACCCTCAAACTCCATCCCTGCACCGTAATTCAACTTACAGAATTGAGGCGGAGACGCGCTGCCAGGCCTCGGGATGGAGCCAAAACTTCAGATTTTTTCAGCCCCACCGAGGACTGATCAGGCTGCTAGGGCCGGCAGGGGTGACTCAGAGCCAAGGCTGGGTTGGGAAGGCTTCAGCTTTTCCTGACTGAATCAGAAACTCGCGGAACAAATCCAATAGTCGTCGTCGTCGTGCTAGTAGTAGTTGCGGTGATGGTTGTGGTTGTAATACAGTAGCGGCAATAGAAGTGGCAGCAGCAGCAGCAGCAGCAGCAGCGGCAGCAGTAGTGGCAAACCAGCAGCATCAGTAGTCCGACGAGTTGTGGTGACGGGGGAAGGCGGAAGCAGCAGCGGCAGCAGCTGTAATGGCGGCAGCGGCAGCAGCAGCAACAGTAGTCGTTGTCGTAGTCATTCGTACTAGTACTAGTCGTCGTCCTGCACGCCGCCCTCGTCACGTCGTTGTCGCAGTCGCAGTCGGAGTCGCGGTAGTCGTCGTCATCGTCGCCGTCGTCGTAGTTCGTAGTAGTAGTAGCAGCAGAAGCAGCAGCAGCAGCAGTAGTTGGAGTGGGAGTGGGAGTGGGAGTAGAAGCAGGAGTGGGAGTGGGAGTGGGAGTAGAAGTAGGAGGAGGAGGTGGAGGAGGAGTAGCAGTAGTACCTAGTACTCGTAGTACTAGTACTACTAGGAGGAGTAGGAGCAGGAGCAGGAGCAGCAGGAGGAGGAGGAGGAGGAGGAGCAGGGCGCAGAACAAGCAGCAGGAGCAGTAGAAGGGGAGGAGGAAGGAGTAGGAGCAATTTGAGGTGCGGCAGCAGGTGCTGCCGTGGTCGTGGTATCGTGGTAAGCGTACAGGAGTATGCATGGATTGGCACTGTTGTCTAGGCTGCTCTTTATCTGTATGAATCTCGCAATGTCTGCACGGCTGACGCCATTCATCATGTAGACAAGTTGCACTCTCCATCAGGAGGAGTCCGCGCACGAGAGGTTCCGAGTCGACCTCGGGCCTTGTAAGAGACCGCGACGGCGGGGTGGGTTGGAAGGCGCTGGCTTTGACCATCATCTGCAGTATCCCCGATCTAGAAGCCCCGACCTTTACTCATCATGAACCCGATGCATGCGCCTTCACGCAAACACGCTCAGCCTTGCCGAAACAGCACCTGAGTTTTCGGCTCAAGACCACCTGAAGCCCCAAACCCGTCAACGCCAGAATCATTGATCCATGCAAGCCCCACGCACATTAAAGAAGGACCCAATTACCCTGCAAACCTCAAACGGGGTAGCACCGCGGCAGCAAAACCTATCTCAGCTTGCAGCCTTTCTTGCTCCCTGGCCAGTGAGGCCATGAGCTGTGCTCGTCCCGAGCGCCAGGACGACCAAACCTCTGGGCCGAGCTTTGCCAAACGGTCTGTCGCAAGGCTTGAGGCCTGAGATCTTGGTATAGAGTTTCCTGTCATGCTGAAGAAGGCATTGAGAAGGAACGAGATGAATAAAAAAAGATGACACACTTACACCTTACCTAAGGTCTAAGGGTTTGGCGTTCAGTGATTGGGGCTCCATCTATTTCTATACCTACTTGGCCAACCTACCTCCCACCTACCTACCTATCTATGTACCCAATACAGAAAACTATTGTGAATGGATATGTATCGAATAGTCTTCATGCTAGATTTCAGTGCTCACACTCGGACAATCCAGGCGAGGCATGTGGTCTTGAGCCGGCTGTGCGAAACCAAAGTACTGAGGACTTGGGCAGTAAAAACTTAAAACTTAAAACAACACAATCCCACCTAGACTAGCAACCCTTGTACGTCGCATCCCGGAAGTCCCGCATTCAAGGGCAGTATCTAGTTGAGGACTTCAAGCCCTGTGACACTACATATGCTCAGGCCGGGATG